AATTCGAACAGATAAGTATATTACTTATGTACTTTGGCCTGGTAGTTTAGGATGCTCGACTCACAATCTGCAAGTCATGGATTCTAATTCCTTCACCAAACATACTCGCCATTTTAGCTGTAAGGTCATTGGTAAAAAGAGTTACTTCACATTTCTACCCAGTAAAACAATTAGGTCAGAACGTCTCAAAACATTATACCAACAATGATAAATCAGGAACTGTGCATGAAAATGAATGTACAGATTGTAAAAGCTCATACATTGGAGATATGAACAGACGGATTTTCATTCGTTTGCAAAAATATTTAAAACCTTCTTACCATGCATATGAACATATATAAAAGTACAAAAATCTCTTTGATTTTTACAAAGTCAAAATTCTAATCATAGATAATAATATAAAACATTAATGTCTGGCAATGAAGAATATACCATAGGTTATCTAATAAAATATAAAGTTGTTTAATTCTATCTGTTATAATTATTCTCTTCTGGATTACTTTAGAAATAATATAAAACTTTTACCTCCACATGGATTTTACATTTTATACAATTGATTGGTTATGAGTAGCTTAATTATTCATGTAACTTTAATTATGCTTTAAAACATGTTGTTACATTGATATGCCAACTTTAATTCTCATATACTTTTCTTCAGTTTAAATTTATTTCTGTTCTAATAATGTCATGTAAATCACCTGATAATGCCTGATTAACCTGATGTAACAAAGTAAAAACAAAAAACATTTATTCTCTTAAGTCAATAAAAAGTGTTGAAAATTATTTACAACAGAGGTCTTTGTAACTTTTAATTCAATGTGTAAAATAGGGATTAGAACAACATGCTGAACCTACATATAGTTATAAAGAACAAACAAGAATAAAGATAATCAATTATTCAACTTAAGTAAGAGGACAATATGTAAAACCATAAACAGTACTTCAGAGAACCATATGCAGGATCCCAAAAATGTATAAAGGTAAATACACTAAAACAACTAATCAATATTTCCTCTAAGAGTCAAGAGATATTCATAAATACAGAATTCTAATCATTTCATTTGCTCAATACAACTGGAAACAATATATCAACAAGACACTTCATCAGTTTCTAGGCAATAAAGCTATTGACTAATGCACCTACATCCTCCAACTGTTCCAGTGGTAACTAGAAGCTCACAAGGATAATAAGCCTCATGACTAATGTATCCATACCCTCCAACTGCTCCAGCAGTAATAAGAAAACTTGCCAGGATAATCAGCTTCCTGACTAATGTATCTACATCCTCTAAGTGTTCCAGTGGTGACTAGTTGCGTACAAGGATAATAAGCCTCCTGACTGATTTACCTACATCCTCTAACTGCTCCAGCAGTGACTAGAAGCTCACAAGGATAATAAGCCTTCTGATTAATGTAGCTACATCCTCCAACTTATCTGCTTCTTTCTTGGTTGTTTCTTCTGCCTTTCTTTGCACTACTAGGATGAGTTTTTATACATCATATCACAAGTTATACATCTGTTTAGTTACCATAACATTAAAGATGGGAAGCCTGTTAGATGATTATCTTACCATAGTGAATAGACTGAATGGGTACTAATTATTTAAAAAGGATAAAAGGCTATGTACTTTGTTATGGCATGGCCAGAATAATAAGGTGTTGCCAACTTACCTGAGATATGTTTATGGTTGAAGTGGAATATTTTGCTGAGTGGATAATCCCAATGTCATACATGTTTGTACAGGAACACATACAAATGATAGCTATTTCCAAGTAGTGAGAAAGAATGAGAATTAAAAAGAAATAATCAAAAGAAAATACCTATAATCCTACAGTTACCCATTCCTACTTGAAGGGCTTTTACAAGAATCTGTATACATGAGATTCATACAGTCTTCAAAAATGAAACAAGTACTCACAAAATATGAAGAACCACAACACTGGAACAACACAGAACACCAGCAAATATAGATAGGTATATTTTAGGGAAAATATACAACCAATTAAAGTAAGGACTCAAGAACATCAGACAACATTCCCAACCAGAGATCAAACAGGAGTTTCACATCTATTCAATATAAATTGTAGCAGATCCTGAAGGGGGGAGGGGTCACCACAGTTAAAACAAATAAACAGACCATATGAAGTTTGAATAAGCAGGTAACAGCCTATTGCAGTGGATAATCCTATCACATTCTGATATCAAACGGTTCTTAGTTCAAACCCCAGTACTTCTAATAATTACGTATCTGAGGACAGTTGCATATCAGCAGCAAAAACACGCCAATAATGCCTTAACATAACTATGTAATGTAAAGCTATCAGAATAAAAAGTTACAAATAGGATCGATATTTTCAATCATACAAGGTGATGTAACTAAAACTAGATGAACAATTTTATAGTACATGACAAGATATACAATCACACATATGCTGACATGTCACTGTGATTATCACATCTTTATTAAACAACAAACGTTTTTTGTTTGTTGGTAAAAATTTAGTTTTGAAAGCACAGGGATTGAAATGTCACAAGCTATGATAGACTTTATTCATTACAGTCATGATAAAATACAAACAGTTATTCCAAATACAAAAAAAACAACACAAAACATATGTAAAATAATTTCAAAAATTCACAGAAAAAACAACAATCTCATACAAGTTTAATACTTCAATCAACACTTAATAATAGAACTAAAGAAAAATAAAGATCTACAGTAAATATTCATAACATCAATATATAGTATTGTGAACTCTTTAAAATCAAACAAAATCATTAATACGGCAAACTTTTATGCTGGTTGATGAGTACAAAATCTGTCACATACAGCCAAATCACAACAGTCAGATAAATAATAAGAGTGACATTCAGCACGAGGAAAAGAAAATGGACACCCATTAAGTTCAATATGATGAACAATTGCCACATATCTTTATGATAAAATAAAAACAACTCAGGTAGCAGAAAATTGTGTCCTAAAGCTCACCAGACTTCTACAGTACAGCACGAGAACTGTCTGAAACACTTGTGAAACCTCGCTACCTGTCATTTACAGCAAATATTGAGAGACAAAAAGTAAAATTTCTCATGAACAAAAAATGAGTGACTTCTTATATATAAAAAAGGTTGTTCATTAAGGTATGTATATGGTGAGAGAGAAAATTTTCTTATGGATCAGAAAAATTAATCATTATGGTCTAAAAGTTGAAAATTTTCATGCATAAAAAATTTTTGATTATGTATTTATAAACAATTTCAAAATTTTACTTTTTATTACTACAACTTTGTAAATTTGTGCAGAAATCAAATATAGTTTTATATATACATCATTGCTATATTTCCTAATGTTAAAAATGTTTATACGTTTGGTCCTCAGATGTTTATCAGTGGTCTAATTTAAACATCTTTATTAACACAAGTCCAACATTTATACGTTTAAAGAAATAATTACAGATACACAGTTAATGACCTGTTTTGTAATTTACAACCACTGTTACCTGCTATTACAAATAAATTCCATCGAAGTAGCTCTGTATGTAGATATCCTTAATAAAACATAAAAATAATAACTATATTTCTCTCTGAAAAAATTCAAAACTTAATATTGAAGACTAGATGTAAGGTTCTGTATAATAAAAAGTATATGCACAATGCCTATATTGCCATCCCTTATTACGACACTGACTGGATGTGATGTAATGAAACATACACATTGAATAATTACACTTTAACCACACATACAAAACAAAGAGTAATAAACTTAACTAAACACACAAGCAAAATCTAGAGAAAAATTATAATAATTTCCACTTTAAAACAGATTAATAGCCATCGCTTCAGAGCTCTATCATTATGATTATAGTGAAACTTTAAATAAAATATTCCAAGGCAAGGTCACATTTCATTACTTCCACCATTCAGCAGTGATATGTATATTAACATGTTTAGTTACCTGCTATTGCTGGTGTCAGAAATACATGTGCAAAAGTTATGGATGTTTATTTTCAAATTAGTACTACGTTTCTTTCAGTACTTACTGACCTACTTCTATTGATGCAGAATGGTAAAAGTGTTGTGTGTTGTAGTACAACATTTAAAAAAGGGTTGTAAAGCAATTAAATATAATAAAAGCATATTCTTTCTTAACATTAAAAATACTATTTATACACATCTTTTGGTTTCAGCAACCTTATGAGATTTTCATACTTAGCATTAATGCTTTAAGATAACTCGGCAAAAAGTCTGAGAATAAGCCATTAGCTATATTTGACATACTTTACCCTGAGACTACAGTGGATCAGCATACTTCTACTGTTTCATATTTCTTGTAGAATAGCATTAGAAAAAACAATACAAAAACCACTTCAATGGCTTACAACCTTGTTCAGTGTTTAGAATGAAATAACTCTATTTATAGAATTTGTACTTGAAAACTGTTTTCAAATCATGGTATATACCTGGTAAAAAAAAAAAGCACACACACACACATATATATATATATATATATATATATATATATATATATA